CAGATGGCCCATACAAAAAAAAAAAAAAAAAAATCTGCTGTGTCTACTGAGGATTCTGTATTCCAGATATAGCACCAGAAGATAGCGCCTCTTGTCTGTTTTCGCAGGTTTCTCTTAATGAATATGTCATTTGGAGCATGCAAAATAAAGGGCAACGTCAATGCAAATTAATTAAACAGTTCTTACAAAGTGATTTATCACCTCTGAAAACTTCAGAAAAGGTGTGCAAATGAATACCACATTAGATTAAGAGCACAAAATCATATCTGAATGTAACATGTGATGTCATATTCAAACTTAAAACACATAAAACACACTCATCTGCAAGACAGTACCTATCCAGGCACTGCAACTAAGTATAAAAATACAAAATTAAAAATACTTTTTTGTAACATCGAAACAAATCTTAAATTGAAAACCTAAATATACAAAATGAAACAAGTGCATGTGTGGCTATTTGTGTTATTCTTACCCTTAGTATACCCATAATGCTTACAGACAATTCGATAGATTGCACAAGCCAATTAGTACATTTTATTTGGGATCTTGGTAAATCAGGGCCTTAATGAATAATATAATTATGCGAACAAAGACTCAGCCTTTTGTTTCTCTTTCAAGACAGCTACAGGTTTGCTTCTGTTCTAGAATGTGAGTTATTTCTGCTGAGGCAGCAGGGTTTTATTTACTGCTGTATTACAAAGCTTGTTTCTCAGCTGCTGTGTTTTATTGATATTTAAATTAGCAGGAGATGGGTTTCGGTAAGGACTGAAGTACCGATTCAACCGATTTGCCTCTTGATCATTTAAAAACCACACCGCCAACCCATATCTGATGCCAAATGTTTAGATTCTAACATAATGAAACCAAAATAACCTTTCGCAATGTGAGCCAGACGATTAGCGGGTTGTCTTGTTATGATCATCACACAGACGCCATTAAATGTCTTCATTGCATTATAAAAAAGAAAGTTATATTGGTTTGGAATGATCAAGGAGTAAATAATAACAGATTTGTTGATTTTGGGTGAATTCAGCCTTTAAAAGAAAGAGAAATCTAAAGCAACCGCATCCAGACTGCAGAGGCACGGTTTTGCAACCCTCTTCAAATTCGGATCCGTTTAAGTGAGCAAAGGAATGATGATGAATTATATTCTTAAAGATTACAATAACAAGTTTATTGCAGTATAAAAATCAGTGTCAGTAACAATAAAGTGTTTATCGTCAAACCTGCTCACCCTGAGTTTCCAGGTTCTCGCACAGCTCCGACTTGGCTTCTCCGTTGGGCCGCAGGCTGGCCTTGGGGTTGAACTTGTTAGACATGGTGGCGGCAGTGACCACAGCTTTCAGGCTGCGAGTGCTGCGTTTGGCCACATTCTGTTCCGGGTGGAAGAGCACCACATAGACCTTTGGCATGTAGAGCATCCCCAGAGACACAGACGCGCTCAGACTCACCGAGATGGTCAGCGTGGTCGTTTGTATGTACAGCTGCGAAACAAAATCACAGCATATGAAAATTAGAAATCTCTGAAAACAAAGCCATTACTACACGCCATACTGGGTCGTAATTGGTCAATTACAGCTTTCTGTGGCCAAATATTTTTGTATAATGAAACTGTATATTTTGCTGTTGCCCTGGGCAACCAATGCCCAGCAGTGTGCTAGTTTTATATCACACCGCAGTCTATTTCTTTCCACATAATCAAATAATTTTCACTGAAATCAATATTTTAAGTTCATTTATTTACTTACTTGATTGGCAAGGAATAATGTAAGGGATAATGCAGGTCATTATTACAAACTAAAGCCCTTCAGGATGGCACAATAGCCTTCTGCTTCGCCTATCGGGGGTGTATTATGCAATAATGGAGACTTGTTCACATGACCTGGGACCTTCATCTCACGAGGGCTTGTTGACACAATAAACCCCTGATCTAACTGACACAGTCAATATGTCAAATCTCAACAGAGAGTCATAACCTCGTGACTCAAAATGCCCAAAGCACCAAGCACCATCACCACATTCGAATATGCGCAATTCTCTGCTACATAATATGCAAATGACTAGAATGTCAGAATACACAATATTCATGATATAACGGGCAGATGACGGACAGCATTTGCTGAGATTATGAAGTGTTTAAACCAAGGTTATTACAGTTAACTAAAACCATAAAAAAATGTTCATATTTTTTCTCAGAAATCAAATTTCAGCTAGTTTCCAAGAAAAAATACATTTCTCATTTTCATTTAAAGTACTAAAATAACTAAAACTAAATAAAAAATAATAAATGTGACCCTGGACCACAAAACTAGTCTTAAGTGTCAATTTTTCAAAATCGAGATGTATACATCATCTGAAAGCTGAATAAATAAGCTTTCCATTGATGTATGGTTTGTTAGGATAGGGCAATATTTGGTTGAGATACAACTATTTGAAAATCTGGAATCTGACGGTGCAAAAAAAAACAAAATACTGAGAAAATCGCCTTTAAAGTTGTCCAAATGAAGTCCTTAGCAATGCATATTACTAATTAAAAATGAAGTTTTGATATATTTACGGTAGGAAATTTATAAAATATCTTCATGGAACATGATCTGTACTTAATATTCTAATGATTTTTGGCATAAAAGAAAAATCTATAATTTTGACCCATACAATGTATTTTTGGCTATTGCTACAAATATACCCCAGCGAACCTAAAGACTTAAGGTTTTGTGGTCCAGGGTCACAAATAAAAAATTATAAAAAAGGGCAAATTAAAAAAAATTAAAATAATCAAAACACTCAACAAATTACTAAAACTATTACACAAATTTAAGTGAAAACAGAAAATACTTATTTAAAATATGAGAAAAAAATATAATTGTATATCGATACTAAAAACTGACTCAACCAACCTGCTCTTTGCTCTTTATGGCCACACTTCAAATGAAAAACTGCTTGTGGAACTTCATTTGTTATAATAGACTTTACTGTACATATTTATCACATAATGCTCAATGTTTTTCAGCTTCTACAGTTAATGCCACATTGTCCATGTTTGATGTTTAATATACAGTATAGTGGGCTCTAAAAGGAAAATGAATAGAAAAAAAATAGTTTGGGATTTAAAATATTAAAAACGTTATGTTGCGAAAATATTATTATAAATAAGAATTATTGAAAGACAAATATATATATATATATATATATATATATATATTTAATTTGTAATACAAAAATGGCATTACATAAATAATAATAATATTATTGTAAGTCATATAAATAATACAATTCTGAAAAAAAATTAAAGTAATATATAATAAATAATTATAATAATTAAAACCATTTTCATTCTCGGGTTTTTGGACTCCATCCACTGTATATAATGAGAAGCTGTGAGCATGATTATCCGGCATGATGCGTTGTGTCATTTGTCTTGGCTAGTTAGCACAGAAACTGGGATTAACTTGCAAGTGATTGCTTTCATCGCTGGACGCTTTGTTGCGTCGTGCCCGGGTGGGACACAGTGTAAGGCATTATTACCTAAATGATGAGAGGGTAATCGTGATTATTTTTAACCAACCACTTGGAGGGACTCTGTTTGTGACATGTTTTCAGTGGCACACAAACAGATACACACCCCAGCACTAATGGCTCCAGCCACTCCATGGCACTGCTGCGAACCCCCTGCTGTTGCTTTAGAACGCTGCTGTGTGTTTTGGCTCTGGCAGACGTGACCTCGGCTCTGGCTCCTCTGTGTGCTGTGATTAAGTGTGACTCACTGCTGTGATCTCCATCCAGAGGGACTGACTGGAAAGCAGTTTCAGCACAAGTCGACAGGAAGGGTTAGGACCACATCAGCTGTGCTGGGGCTCTTCTCGAAGTAGAGACAGATGGCTACCACCCAGCACTGGCCACTATAGGCAATCCTAAAGTGTGCCATTGAAATATAGTGCAGTATCTTTAAAAAACAGGTCCTTATTAGTTAATCACGACACCAGCATTTCAGTTTATTTCAGTCTAAACTATGTTGTTTCCACCATTACATAACCATTAAAAGCCAAAGTAAATTATTAAAATAATATCTGAAAATATTTAGTTTGTATTCGTGCTGTCAAACGATTAATTGCGATTAATCGCATCCAAAATAAAAGTTTTTGTTTACATAATATGTGAGTGTGCTGTGTATATTTATTATGTATATAAATACAAACACATTCAGTATATATTTTGAAAATATTTGCAATGTATTTATATGTATATATTTATATTCATATAATTTATATTATATATAAATATATTTAATATATAAACATAACATATTTTTCTTAAATACATGCATGTTTGTGTATTTATATATACATAATAAATATACACAGTACACACATATATTATGTGAACAAAAACTTTTATTTTGATTAATCGTGATTAATCGTTTGACAGCACTAGTTTTTATTAAGTTGAAAACATATTTTTCTACTCACTATTAGAGTTATGTTAGATGTATAAAGCCTTCATTTACTAATAAAAATAATATTATTAGTATTTAAATACCAATATACACTCACCGGCCACTTTATTAGGTACACCTGTTCAATTGCTTGGTAACACAAATTGCTAACCAGCCAATCTTAATGTAAATATTAAATATATAATTAATATTAGACTTCATTAATATATACATATTTATATCTAAATATAATTTATTTAAATATTTAAATAATTTATAATATTTAAATATAACAAATAATTGTTTAATATTAATATAAAACAATGCCATATTGCTTTCAAACACAGTTGGTAATAAACTTAAGAAACAGATTAAGTGAGTGTTTTTTTTTTTTTTTTGTCAATAATGCAATTGAATGAATAATAATGACATAATAGGCAGTGGTGGATTTATATGACTGCAACTAAAACTAAAAGTAAAACTAAAAAAATACATTATTTTTGTCAACTGAAATAAAGCTGAAAGTAAATAAAAATATATTAATAATATTAGAAACTTAAATGCAAATTAAAAAAATGCTGCCTTGGCAACTAAATTAAATAAAATAAGTTTAATTTGAAGTACTAATATTACTAAAACTGAAACTGAAATATATATAAAAAATATTAAAGATAAATAGAAAGATTTTAAAAACCAAAAGCACAAATTGCAATCAATCAATAAACACATAAATAAAATATTTCTTTATTTATTGGCAAATCAAGCGTTGCGTTAGTTCTGGCAGGTCACGTTAGTCAAGCTCGCATCAGCTGACTCTCAGCTGATCCCCATCTACCTATAGGAATACGACACCTATCTATCTAAGCATTCATATATAAGGTCCCTCAGTATTATCAGCAGTTTTCGCATTGCTCAATTGCTAATTACCCTCCTCCATCCCCAGCTCCCCCTCTGTCAGTCAGGATTCAGCCTTCTAATTATCCTTTGAATCAGACTAATTCTAAAATGTGTACATAAAATTATTGAACTTTAACGATATCTGCAATACATTTATGTTGGTTCTGTTCTGTTTACCCTGGGGGGTTATCGCTGCTCTCCCTGCTCTCATCCATGCTAGGCTGCATGGATGCGCAGGGAGTTCTTGCCCAGAACAAAACCATACCGCCAATCCAAACTGTATGCTAATTGTCAATCATCTTTGACAATAGTGGTACTGACAGAAATATTTTTTTAAAAGCTAATTCAAAACTTAAAAAATAAAACTAAAATAACACTGCATGGCTGTGTACATGATTTGGATAATGTTATATTTTGACTTACAAAATGTCAGACGCCAGTTTACAACCACTTATGATAAACTGACTTTGTTAACATTTATACCTTGCCAAGACACTTTCACCAAGAAGTGCATTTGACCATTCATGCATTGAGTATATTACCACGAGGCACGAGGACCGATTACAGAGCATGCATGTATGTAGGCATGGAAAGCAGCCACCTGTCAATCAGACTAAACTTGTTGCATTAATTTTCATGTTTGAAATCAAACAGACTTACATTTGACTTGGGCTAGAGAGCTTAGTTTAAGCACCGCTCAAATTTCTTTAGTGAAATATAAAGCATAGTTGAGATAGGACAGGAAATGATGGGATCAAGATATGTCGCTTATCACTGCTCAATATGTCGGAGGTCTAACCACAAGGCCATGGCTCAGACAAAAGCTATTGTAAAATACAGTCCTTGGCCACTTAGTCAGCAGAGTCACACTTCCAAATTTAACCAGAAAATCTATTGCAGGGGTCCAACAAATCACCTGAAAGGAAAGCGAGCGGTACATACATAGTGATTAAACCAGCCCGAAATTATTAGCATTGGTCTATATGTCGAAATCTCTCACTAATCTTGCTGAACCTGAAGTTGCAATTACAGTCACAAATGAGGATTTAATGACGCACACGACACACGATTCATAGAGGTATCTCATCAATGCCTCCGCCTCGGGCTCTGTATGTGCAGACAGCACACCTGCATCTAATGAGGCTTGTGAGAAATACTGAGATGGGAACTAGACAGTGAATCAGGGTTAGTCCTCTGAGACAGTCTCTGTTGTCTCAACACATACAAAGTGTTCCACTTTTTTGCCCTCGAATTGAAACTACAAGTTAAAAAAAGGCTGCCGTTATTGCACTCCCACATATAAATGGATGACTTGATAAAACGTACACCGGAACACCATCAACTTTAATAATACAACAACAACTTCTGCCACTTCTTCACCTGCTGCTGCCAAATTATCTCTTGGGATAAAGAACAAAAAATGAACTGCCATTTTTAAAAAGGAAGTAGGTCTTATGTCAACATCAGAGGCTTTTTAAGAAAGAAGTAGGTCTCATGTTAATAGCGGTGCTGTGAAAAACACCGTTCAAAGGGATGTGAATGTTTGTCATTCAAATTAACTATGCATTATCCACATTTAATATCCTTTAATATACTTTAAAATTTAAGTACATTTTTATTTTTGGGTAAACTATTTCTTTAACAGACTGTCTCCAATCCCATGTTATTGTATCCTATGAACTTCTGGCTCAACCAATCACGTGAGTTTGGGAGCAGAAGCACCTGTTTGACTGAGCAATGCTTCACAGGTCAGTAGGGGAAAAGGTACTTGTGTTTGAGCTCTGGCCAAAAGCACAATATAAAGTAAGTGTTTTATTATTCCTCCCACTGTAATACTATTATAAATGCATTTTCCTTTATTATATTTCATAGCAGAGTGTACCAGGCTTACGCTATATTCATGTATTTAATTATATCCGTGAGAAGCTATTTTTTAATTTTCAGAAAAAAATGCACTCATGCATCTGTCTTTACAAGGTACTCATTTAGGTGACAGCAAATGAATGACAGACTGAAGGAGTTCAATAACGGGAATGTCAAAGAAACTGACATTTAACAGAGGTCAGGCCCCGCCGCTACCACACCTGTCACATCGCTGACACACACCTGTATGTAAATAAGAGATGTTGAACTCGCTCAGAAAGAGACAGTGATTATTACCCTGTCAGCAACACAAAGGAGGAAAGCCCCTGCAAGTGAACCCTATGGCATGGTAACATGATGGCACTCTAATGATAGCTTCCAGTTTTGGAGGGCGGAGATGCATACAAATAGCAGTCCATGTAAGTTGAAATGCTTGACTTAAGATATTATCAAGCTTCCTCAAAACCAACATGAGAGAGGTTGTGATAACATCCAGCAACAGAAAGAAGGGTTTGTAAGTTTTGCTTACAATGTTTCATTGCACAATATGAATTGTAATAGCAACTTGTTCAGGGACATCAGATGAAAACAAGGCATCTTCACATAATCTGGCACATGTACATCAATGTGAAGTTTTGAATGTGAAAAAAATCATGTTTAATGTCCCTGACAAATAAATAAATCCAAAAAATGTCATGGCGTAATTATCTGCCGATAAGCTGTGCCAGCAACCTGCCATTTATTCAGAGGAGGGTTTGAAATATATCATGATATTCTATAGATCCATAGGTGAAAAGTCAAAGGAACTGTTTTATTTATTTATTTTAATTAATTAATTAATTAGTAATACTGAATTTTGGAAAAATAAAACATAATCTGTGATAAAATAAAACAGATTTCATAGGACCCTATATGTAAATGTAGATATAATTATGTATATTTATAATATTTATAATAATGTAATTATAATAGAATTACAAAGAATCAGCAAAAAACACATTGAATTAAATGTGACATTTTAAAGTAGAAAGCCTGAAATAGTATGTTCTTATAAAACATGCTCCAATAAACTTAAACAATTAAATTTTACAGTTTAAGTTTCATCATTTCAATTAATTACACGTTTTTTGATTAACCACTAAAACTGAACATTTTAATGGAAACATTAAAACAAAGAGAGAGAGAAAAATAAAATAAAATGGAAAAATGAGTAATGACATAATTTTCAGGATGCACTTTCCAATGTTTTTTTTTTTTTTTTGTAATTTTTTTGCCAGCACTTAATATATTAAGGATGGGAAAAGCTACTTAATTGCATTCATTTGATTGCTTTTTTAATCTATTATAATCCACACTTTCATTTTTAAGATGCTGAAAATGATTGTGCTTCTTTTTTTTAACTAAACATTTTTATTTTAGACAGACAGGTTTTTATCAATAGTCAGATTTTGGACATGCATTCAAGTTTACCCAACAAAGCAATCAAAAATCCATCTGGATCCGTCTGAAATCCAGGAAGGAAGCATGCTAAAGCCCTAAGACCACAATGAGGCCTACCTGCCAGACTAGCTCATTTAAGAATCTTTTGGTTAAACCACAATACGATGACCCTCCGATTAATCATTTGACAGGCTGATCAAATTCAGCAGGGACCAGACCAGCTGCCCACATTCAAATGTTCCAGAAAGCCTCCAAAGACATTCATTATTCACTTTGACATAAGATGACAAACAACTGATGGAGCCGGCATGCTGATGAGCCGTCTGGCAGAAATCGTGTGACAAGTGCACAGGCAGAGAGATAAGGTAAATCACAGGCTAGGAGGAAGTGAGGCATTTAATTGCTCTAAAAAGACATGTCATCTCTGACTCGCCAGGCTTTATTGTGCTTGCCAGCCTGGATGATTGTGAGGTGCTCTTGTTTTGATATGTTAATTCCCCTCTGAAAACACTGTTTGTTGCGCACACAGTTGTGGGATTTTGTCATAGGATGCATGCTTTATTTTCTGCGCAAAACTAATTGCTAAAACTATTTCTTCAGTCCTGTGATGTACAGAGCAGAATTAACATCAAGCCCTGATTACACCATGAGAGGACTGATAGAACTTGAGTGTATAATATTGTCAAAAATTACCAGCATTTTACAAGACTGATAGTTTTACTTTGAAATCAAAGCATACTGTCATTTTCTTTGGTAATTACATTACTTTATAAAAAGCATAGTGCGTTGCATTTAAACAATATTGCACTGTTGTTGTTCTACTGCAGCAAAAACAAAATAAAAGCAAATAGTGATAAAAATTGTAACCGTTTAATTTATTCATACTGCAATAGCCACTAGATCAGGTCTGCAATAGAGTATTTTCTCATTTGCTCAAGTAAAAACTAAAATGTAAACCATAACATCACGATTAGAAATTTTAATAGCTCACTGAATTGATATCTTTTGACATAAAACTAAGTTCTGAGTTTTTAGGAAGCCATTCATTCAAGTACTCAAAGGAACATGACAAATTTTAAATTTCATAACTTCATTCCTTCATGCTTTTTTTACTCATCATATCCTGTAACTATCCCATCGTGAAAAGCATAAATGCATTCCAAGATAAAAATGAGACAGACTGCAGTTCGATCACTCAGACGATCACCACTAATTGCTAAATCAGTCAAAGACTGCTCACAGAAAATTGCACTGAAAAATTATTATAAAAGTGACTGAAAGTACGTCAGCTAGTTGCCAAGAATGCCGTAAATTCACACTAAAACCTTATATGGTGTAGATTAAAGAATCAGATGCAAGGGAAACGGTGGGAAAAAAAGAGAAGAGAGGAAACAGCATGTGATACAGGGTTACAGTTACCGTCGTTATGATTTTGTCTGATCAGCAGAAATATAGTTATTTGTTTCTTTAGGATTGGTGTAGGCAGAACGTAGTTTAAGGCAACATGCAATTACCTAAGTCAGTTCATACAATCTTATATCTGAATGAGTCATTCAAACGGTGGTTAAAAAGGCACAGTGGGGAATCTGGGTTTAATGCAGTAATGGCTCCCTACCAACAAGTATAACAATACTCAAATTGCTGAAATTGCTTGTTCAAGGCTTTGCTAAGGGAGACACTAATTAAATAAAATTCAAATTGAAAAACAAGCCCTTATCTTAAGCTTCAGAAACAGAAGGTCCCAGGTTTTCTAATTGAAATGAGTAATGCAGCCAATGCCAGGGCATTTGCATATATAATTCGGCCTCAAAATGAAGAGCCTTTTTGTTCGATATTCTAAGTCAGTCGGTGCTTGTCAGTTGATTACATCATCTACAAAAAGCTGACGCTCAATCTCCTTGCTATTTTCAAAGTCTCTTTTATCTTTGAGAGCACAGTGCTAGATGGGTAAAAGAGAGTGCCTTTGTTTTTCCCAGCCGCACATGTCCTGTTCAATATTCGAAGGAAACCACGTTAGTTCTGCGCTGTAGCGCGCCAAACCTCACGATTCTCGATTTCTCTTTGAAATAAACTGTCTGTTTTACCACTCTGCTTGATGTGAGGCCCAAATGAACATAGTCAATTTGTTCCCGCTAGTCTGTTTTTTGCAGAAAATGGACCGCACTGAATGGCATGTTTTGTAGGAAGCTGGGGCGGTAAATGCTGTCGTTACTTTAAAACGCTTGATTGCCAAGGTCTTGAGGAATTGCGCTCACTCATCTGCTCTTACCTTTTCCGTCGACTGCGACGTCCCGAAGAAAATGGGGATGAAAGCGAGCCAGATGATGCAGGTGGTGTACATGGTGAAGCCGATGGGCTTGGCCTCGTTGAAGGTCTCGGGCACCCCTCGCGTCTTGATGGCGTACACCGTGCACGTCACCATCAGCAGCATGCTGTATCCCAGGAGGCAGATGAGCGACAAGTCTGATATGTCGCACTTTAGGACTCCGCAAGCCATCTCGGGATCTGCCGTGCGCTGATCCTCGTAGTCAATGAGAGCTTGGGAAGGGTCCACTGCGAACCAGATGCACACCCCTAGGAGCTGAACGGAAATCAAGCTGAAGGTAATTACCAACTGCGAAGCCGGACTGATAAAGCGTGGCGCGCTCACTGTCATTTTTCCCTGCTCGAAAATCCGATAAATCCGATTGGTTTTGGTGAGCAGCGCCGCATAGCTGATGCTCATTCCGAGCCCCAGGAAAATTCGCCTGAGTGAACAGATCCCTATATCTGGGGTCGAGATCATCAGGAAGGTGGTGGCATAACACAGAAAGATTCCTGTAAGCAGGACGTAGCTCAGCTCCCGTCCGGATGCCTTAACAATCGGCGTGTCATTGTAGCGAATGAAAGTGACCACAACAAAAAGAGTGGCTATGATGCCGAGAATAGCGATCAGGACTGGTATGACTGCCCAGGGTGAGCTCCACTCCAGCTTCACAATCGGAATGGGCTGGCAGCCTGTGTGATTCTTGTTAGGTCTTAAATCAAAGCGGCACATCTTGCAGGAGTAGAGGTCGTGCTGATACTGGTAACCATCGCAGCGCTCGCAGTGCCAGCAGCAGGAAATGCCCTTAACGATCTTCTTGCGCCACCCGGGTTTGCAGGGCTGACTGCAGATGGAAGTCGGCACCTGCTTCCCTCCACCTGGCCACTGCATCGCCCGCATCTGAATCACAAAAAAACAAACAGTATTTACCATTTATCTCGGCTAATGACGAAACAATGTTTAACATCTCAAATTAGTGTTTTCATTTCCTCAACCATTGACTCATTAAATGAATTCTTGGGGATCTCAAAGGAGCAATTTTAAGCAGTTTTCCTTAAGGCTATACTTCAATCCTTTTTCATAAGCGATGTGTGCGTCAAGTTCACCAAAAAGTGAAAACCGTGTCAGTGTTTGCTCACTCTCACATCGCTCCAAACCCATATGCTGCTTGTTTTTCTGCGGAATGCTTTTTTGCAGAGATTATTGTGCAGCTCGTTATAAAATGACAAAAAAAAGTTATTAGAAGCTGTAAAGCTCCCAAAAAAATGTGGTCCATTTGACTTATGTGCTATAATCTAAAGCCATATGTTTAAGGAAAAGATAATAAGTGTTTATTATACCAATAATACTAATACTAAGAAGTGTTACTGGTTTTCACTTGTGTACAACGTGACATGCCGTTTTTTTTAATTCTGGACACTACCATCAGATTATAACAACATTCATTTTGGTCTGTCACACAAAGCAATTCAGAAGACTTACAATTCACACAATTCACCTTTTTGGAGCTTGAAAGCTATAATTACTCTTGTTGTATGGCAATAACTGATAAAGATTCTTCAAAAAAAAAAAAAAGCCTACATTTGTGTTGGACAAAAATAATGACAAAATACAGGTTTGGAATGGTATGATGGTGAAAAACAAGACAAGAATTTAATATATACTTACATTTAGGTAAAGTTGGTCAGTCCAGTGGCCGATGGTCTTGTATTCAGCTGTTTTGTTCTTTATCTGGTACTGGTAGATATCGTAACGGCCTGGGGCATCTCCATTCTCATTGAACTGCACCGGACTGCCGGCAATGCCTGAAGATGTGAGCAGAGAAATCTGATTAAAGGATGCAAAAAGTGTTATACCATATAAGCTTCACAGTAATGAGCAACCGCTCATGTGCAGACATATCCAGGTCAGCGTCCAAAATCTGTGAACGAAATTCACCTGAGATTGATGGTGAGCTGGAAACTGCAATATGTTAAGCTGAACTAAATGTGCTAGCAGTCAATTTAATAGAGCTTTTGTTAAATATATTGCTTTAGAGGTTACTTAATGCTATATCTATGCTATAGTAAATAACAATGCATGTTTCAAAACCACTTATTTGTAATATAACAATAAGCATCGTACCTAAAGGAGGAAAAAATAACCTCATTTACACCTGAAATTTAAAAAAAAACTGCATTACCACTGCTTAGTATAAAATGCATGGGCATATTCATTTAGCTCCGTATAAACAAGTCGAAATTCCCTTTGCAGATATCTAACCTCAAGTACATTGAGTGCTATTTCTATTTTGCAAGAGCAATAGCTTATGGAAGGAGGCAGGCCGAGGTGGACAGGATAACAATGGTGCTGCATCCCATGATGCATTTTAGATTAGGTGCCATTCTGTGGAAAACCCTGCTGTCTCAGGCTTTAAAGTTTTGGTTAAGCTATCTGAATTCCAAGCACCTGACCGTGTCCAACTTAATTCCCTGGACCCTGTGCAGCCGAGTCTACCGAACAATAGCACAAGAAATTGTGTTTTCACTACTCGTGTTTGGGTTATAACTATTTTGAGGCACAATCCACATGAAATTCTCACTGAAATCTAAGGGTGATTATCAGCAATGGTGGATTTCTGATGATGAATATCCATTCTCCTTTGTGCAGGCTTGGAAGCTGCGAGAGGCTTATTTCAAACTCTGATGAGTCAACCGCTCTGGATTAGGGAATTAAGATTTTTTGCAGCCATGCTTGGTAGCGGTGCAGTTCACCATATAATGCAGACAGATGTAAAGGATTATGAGAATTTCATAAGGACAACATATTCATCAAAACAAGAGGGTGCATATGATTGAGATTCCCAAAGTAAGCACTCAGTTACTGACTCACTCAGGCGTATGACCTTACCATATTAATTTATTATCAGCAGTGCTCAAACTTGAGCCTAAATACTAAACGCCAGCGCACAACTTGTCCCACACATTTGTGTTATGGATATGAGTGATGGCTCAAATCTTGTGGGTTAAAATCTTGTGAGGAGCAGTGTGCTATTATGTTTCTAATCATAAAATGTACGATTTTTAAGTATTTTTAAATAGTAATGCCTTAGCAACCCTCTCAAACACCCGAGAAACAACATACTCTACACTACTCACAAGACTTTAACAACCACACTGCAAACTCTGTTGTGGTGGTGACATTTTAAAAATCTAGTTACTAAACATGATATAGACAGAGCAAAACTCACAGAAACCAGTGTTATGACTTCTGTGTTTATTATTCAATATGGGGTTCTGACTCTACCAGGAAGATGCCACTAAACACTGAACTGTCCCCCGACATATATCCTTAGAGCCGTGAGTGTACTCCACAGCATCAAAGGGTTGAGAGTTTTCTTCTGAGGTTCATTTGATGAGACATTGTGCAGCACTTCAAACAATGGGATCAGGGAGAAACACAGGTAGACTTCCACCTCCAGAGACAGAGCTTACCACTCAGCCAAGAGATTCTTCTCCAACCATAATATTCAGCGGAGAAGACACACGGTCACTGCCAGCATCACAATGAGTCTTTGTCCTAAAGACTACTGAAAATCATACTGATAGAACCATAGAACAATAGAATGATAAACAGAAGGATAGATAGAATGATAGAGAAATAGATATACAGACAAACTGAAATAGATAGACACACACACACACACACAGAGACAGCTAGATAGACAGACAGAATGATAGATAGAATGATAGAATGATAGAACGATAGAACGATAGAATGATAGATAGATAGATAGATAGATAGATAGATAGATAGATAGAACGTTCAAAAGATAGAACGATCGATAGATAGATAGATAGATAGATAGATAGATAGATAGATAGATAGATAGATGATAGAACGATCGATAGAACGATCGATAGATAGAACGTAGATAGAATGATAGATAGCTAGAACGACAGAACGATCATTAATTACTCAGACAGCAAGGGTACTACCACGATCATGGTCCAGAAAAGTAGTAAGAACATCGTTAAAATGGTCCAGTTGACATCAGTGATTCAATAGTAATTTTATAAAGCTACAAGAATACTTTTTTGTGTGCAAAGAAAACTAAAATAACAGCTTTATTCAACAACTCTTCTCCTCCGTGTCACCCTACGGGCGCCATTTTGGAGAGTACCACAACGCATGCGTGCGCTCTCCTCTAAATGTAAACAAGGCGCAGTGCATGCGTGTTTCATGTCAGCAGCATCACATGCATGCGTTGATTACGTGCAGGAAAAGGACACGCATGCGTCATGATACTCTCCAAAATGGTGCCCTAGGGTGACGCGGATGAGAAGAGTTGTTGAATAAAGTTGTTATTTTAGTTTTCTTTGCGCACAAAAAATATTATCTTGTAAAAGTATTCTCCGAAGATGGACAAAGGTCTTGCGGGTTTGGAACGACATGAAGGGGAGTAATTAATGATAATTTTCATTTTTGGGTGAACTATTCCTTTAATGAAACTGAAAATGAAAGTGTTCTGTGGTTTTTCACCAGCCATCAGCAGGACTTTAAGACCCATTTTGGCAGTAATTTATGTTGTTAAAAAAGACAATGTGGAGGAAGCCTGCAATTTGAGCTTTGGAAGCAAAGCCAGCAGTTTAAAGGCCTCACACTCAGTAAACTTACAAAGAAGAAACCACTCTGGATGAGAGTGATGGCTACACAAACAGAAAAGTGATGGGCCGCCTCATTCAATCTCAGGCTATTCAAGTCTCTAACTAACCTCACTCAAAGTCACATGGAAAGGGGAGGACGGAGTTAAGTGTGAAAAGTAGCACTGAAAACGTGCAATGCAGAGTTACTAGACAGCTTTGGCTACATACAGCAGGTCTCCATTCTTGCAAAACAGTCTTTCTTATCAGGCTTATGGTTATATAGCAGTAAATCGCTGCCAGACACTGGATCTCAGCTCATCTGCTGCGAACGTCTGCCATGGCCACTTCTGAACTGGCAGGAGAAGTGTTGCAAACTGACTGCATTCTGAACACAATTATAATTATCAACATATCTGTTCATTAACAGGAATAAGATGACACTGAGTAATACAAAAGCTGTTGTTTTGCTGTAAACAGGGTTATAGGTAGAAGATTAAACTCACTAGGCCAGTATGTAATGATGCAAGAGTTTAAGACTTTGATGTAAAAAAGTGCTTGTAACGTGTCTTTCAAAAACAACAACAAAAAAAAAACTTAAGCATAATTAATGCTTGCATAAAAAAGAATTGCTGGTACTCCACTTGTTTGTACACATACCGTAGGGTACAAACATCAGACTCCACATAAAAAATCTGAGAACTTTGTTGGAGGAGTAGTGGTAGGGTTTTTATTTATTAACATAGAATTAACAAGAAATATAATCTAATATGAAATTGAGCATGTGAACTACTCCTCAGATGTTCATACTGGAGAACATGATCATCAGGCTGTGAGCAGGATCATAAACTTGTGGAGCTCATGCAGCTCAAATGCTGTTGTTATTAAAGCAAAAGAGTGAAAAGACGATTCTGAAATTCATGTACATGTCTCGCTTAAGCTTTCAACTGTTATGTTGATAATATAATTTGTTATGAAAAAAATGCAAAGTGAAAGATTTTGATAGTGGCTATTTGGCCCCACTGTATATACTGTACGAATTAAATTCATTTAATGCAACAAACACATTTACCTAATTGTTTTTAAAAACATGTTTACAGAGTTAAATAACTTGTAAATGTGTTTACATAATTAAATGTCATTTGTATATAAAAATATAAAAAAGTGAAATAACTGCGCTCACTCAATAATTAGGGTAAGTAGATCAGAAAAAAATCATAATAACTTGAAATAAAAAAAAGCAGGATCCACAATCACTTAAAAACGTAATGTTTTTTTTGTGCGTGTACAAATGGATCATCAAACATTTTGGTTTATAAGTGAGTGCGGATCCTGTTTTTTTTTTCATTTGAAGTATATATTCAAAAGATTTTTTTTCCTTAAAAAGAGCCACATATATTATACTTGTGAACTTTCTATTCAGATAATCCTTAGAAAATTCATCACAGTGTCCTCAAAATATTGGCAGCACAACTGTTTTCAAGACTGATAATAGTAATAAATATTTATTGAGCAGCAAATCAGCATATTAGAAAGATTCCCGAAGGATCATGTGACACAGAAGACTGGAGTAGTGATGCTGAAAATTCAGCTTTTCCCCTATTTATGATCAAATAAATGCAGCCTTAGTAAACATAAGAGACTTCTTTCAAAAAATATTAAAAACTACACTGTATACACTTCATTTTAAAAAGAAAAAGCAATATTTGAAGCCAGATTTCAGCATGCTTAAAATGTAATATTAATTATACACTTTACTCTATATACACATACAAATACACACACATATATATATATATATATGTGTGTGTGTGTGTGTGTGTGTGTGTGTGTGCGTTTGTGTGTATTGTGTGTAGGCGTAATGGTAAAAAAAAGAACCCCAGCAGGAGCGGATCGGCAAATGTTTGTGTGTGTGTGTGTGTGTGTGTATGTTTATGTACTGTATATGTGTGTGTGTGTGTATGTGTATGTGTATGTGTGTGTGTGTGTGTGTGTGTGTGGACAGAATAAGCAACAATAGATACTGAAGCTAAAGTAATAGGCAAACCTTACCAAACAATACCACGCTACCAATAAATGTGAACAGCACAGAATTGTCGGTACCGATGACCAGCTCAGTTCGATCACTGAGTATAATTCATTAAAACACCAGTTCTTAACTGGTTCCTAAAGGACTCCTCAATCAAGTGTTTATGTTCTGAACCAGCATTCAACTCCCGCAGTAATTGTCAGGCACTTCATTAATTCAATTAGATCTGCACGTTTTCCCCTGGAAAAAAAATGTCATGGCCTATTCCAAAGCAGACGCTATTGACACAGTAAAGCTCAGCAGAGAATCATTCAATCAAATGCACTAATGATTGAAGGGCACTTGGTCAGAGAACCACGTGACAGAGCGATTTGCATAACAGTTGACCCAGTTGGGGGAAAAAAAATTTATGACCCTGAAAGTCATATTCTATTAGCCGGTTACACTTCAGAACAGTAGGCCACATCATCATGGTCCTCAGAGTAAATGTGAATACTCAGTAAATTAATTAGTCATACTGCCATTGATAGCCCAGGAAGAACATGTCCAAAGGGTGTTGTGAGCCCACTGCAAACTGCTTTAATTAACACATACATGGCTCAGGAGGAACCTTGGCTTGGGTACGCTAAGCACATATCAAAATACTTTTCTGGGGAGCAGTCTGTCACTCCTCAGGGCTTCTGTTGTTTCTCACAACTCTAATCCATTCCAGCAGCTAATCTTTGTAAAACCATTTGTTGACGATTTATGGCCAGGGTGGGGTTTTGGTAAAAGGATTTTGGACAACTTTTGAAAAACGTATCCTGTGAGAGAGCCGTTTTAAAATTGTTATGCTGCAATAAAGAAACTTAAATTCACAGTCAGAGGGCTCATTATGCAAAACTTCCTTTTCTTAAGCACCCATAAACAGATGCTTGCTCTGTGCTAGTAGGTCTGTCAAAGGACAAACAGAAGAGCGGTAATGCAGATGGTAAACCGCTTACCTGCTATCTTGACATTGCGGATGTACTTTAGCAGCAGGGTTCCATCAACTGGGTCCATTTTGGAACAGAGTCCCACCTTGCCAAGGCACAGGTCTTTGTGCATGTTGTGGAGGGCGTGCGCCATTGCGTACACTGCATCAATCACGAACATCACCTTTCCTTCTTGCTCGTAGGACGAGTCTTTTCCGATCCTCTCTTGATCTGACAGACGAAAGAAAAAGTTTGCATCAACATCGACTGAAGTGTCATTAGATTTTGACTGAATTGTCACACTCACACCAGGAGAGCACTGGAAGAGACTGATGTTGCACATCTTGACGCTTTCTACACCGAATGCGTCGAAGTTTCTTGCCACTTCAGAGTCTTCACTAATAACGAACCAATCAGAAAGAACTCGGTGAACCAACTCAGTGAACTCGAGGCAACACTTTGGGAGACTTTTTAAATGTAATAAAATACTAAAATAAATAAAACACATAAAATAATAAATTGTGTGAACATTTTCTTTCCATGAGGCTTTTTTCATCTAAAATAAAATAAAATAAAATAAGGTTTTGATCAGAATTCTTTAAGATATACTACAAATAAAATATAAAAGCATAATTTTATTTTAGACTTACAAAGAAAGTGGCTGGAGCTGCTGTGTAACACATAAAAAATAGATTCATCGGGGCATTCATCGGCCTCATCAGGTTTGTGCAGTGCAGAAAGGCCTACTGATTATAATTACAGCAGCCTACTTTGGCTGTGTTGCAACATAATCATGTTACTTAGAGAGCATTATTCATCTTAGACAAGTGGAACACCAAACTAGTTACATTTCCCAGTTGTTTCGTTTACCAAAAATACAATAATAGTAGTTGTAATGTGATGCAATCAAATAATTTAAACTGCTCCTGCCCCAATTTGCAGTTTACTTCCGAGTCAAACGTGAATGTTTTTTATTTTATAAAATATTTGGAATTGAATTGGAATGAAATTAAGCAAAACTGTTTTTGAGAACCATACTTGTCATTTACATGCTAAGAAAACAATTCAAAACATAATAATTTAAAGCTGGTTGCTTCTTTAATAAGCACTGTGCAGAGCGGTGTTACAGGGTGATGCACTTTAAACACTAATCAATTTAATTTTATACTCCAATTTAATCGGCTTGCCAGCAACAAAACCAGAATGCATGTAGGAAATGTTTTGTTTCAGTTGCATGAAAGTAGAGCAAAGTAGACTTTAAGGATGTTCCTACTGTACATAAATGAATCACATGGCTAAGCACAAACAGTCTTAGTCCACAAAAAAGCAACTTCCTGAACAATGACCAATTTGGCATTAAAACAGGATGTAATTCCGCCAAAAAGTGCACATTTTCATCAAGGTAGCAGCTCAATGTTCTATCATCCTGTCATATAGATAATGGACACATACTGTATGGAATTGTGCTAAAACGTCTAATCTGAGTTTTAAAACCATTCTGGGGTGTAAGGATGATCTGAAAAGCACATAATTATTATAAAACTCAGCAAGCTATTATTAGAAAGTATTAGAACTATTAGAAAGTGTAAAGCAGCATCATTCTGGCATTTTTGTCATAAATGTTTCAGAATTAGGTCTAAAACATTGCTGTGGCAACTATGATATAACAAAAATGTATATTCAGGCACAGCTTTGTTCATGAATATTTAATATAGATTCTTGTGTAATAGCATAAAAATAGAATAAATAAATGAATGAATAAATAAAAAATCTATAACAAAATGTTTATCAATTATCTTATTTTTAAATAAATATTTATATAGTCATTTAATTAAATAATGTGCATACTTGAAAACATATGTATACTTTAAAACAATTGATTAGCAACACTAAAAATTAAATTAAATTAAATTAAATTAAATTGGTTTCCATTTGAGTTTACAGTTGCACTGTTATGAGTAAAAGGTTGTATTTTAAATAACTGTTACAGAACTTGTTACATGTGACACTCCAAAAAGACTGTATTCAAATAGAAAGGGGGGGGGGAATAATCAAATATCTACAATATGCCACGAGTTGTCATCTCACATGTTCAGTTATCCAAGTCCCGTATCTTGCTCTTCATGTCACGGATAAATGAAAGAGGTCTGGTACCACACGAGGGTGGAATAATAGACAGGGAGACAGCAAGCAAGATTAATTATCTCTCAGTGCTCATATAATCATGCCAGACAGCTGTATATTCATTAGAGCTGGAGTTGCTCAGCCTGGGTTTTTTTGTTTTGTAAGGTCTTAATTGCAAAGGAGCTGTTTCAATTATGACCCTGCCAGAACAAACCGTGGAGATAGCAGTCAGATGTCAGGTTGGCAGATTGCAGGGTACACTCTTCAGAATAAAGCCTGTGACATTGTCATTTTGGGTTACTGCCAGCATTTACTGTACATTAACAGTATTTCAAACAACTGCAAAAACCGAAAGAGCAATCATTACTCTTTACAATAGAATGCCTTTCAGGTTAATTTCACTTAGTGCAGTATTGTACCATTGCTTGAAATTTCAAAAGGCTGGTTTCCACTTTTGCTCAATACTCTTTTCTGTTTTGCCCAAGACAAACCCATACCTTTTCTTATCTAAACAAAGCCAGTGCATTTTTTTTCTAAAAGCTGCTGTTAGTAAAGAAATGTCTGTCCTATTCTTCTAGGGTTTCTAATCACCAGCACTTCAGCTTTGCCTTAAACAGAAAGCAAAAGGCAATTTAACATCCTCGACAGTCCCTTTGCATCTTGAAAACCCTCAATTAAAGAGGCAGGTTATGCTTGTGTAATTGTTCACCATAAGCATAACTATTGGTGGTGGTGGGGACTGTTCGAGTTCCGCCATGGGTCTGCCTGAAAGAAAAAATCCATTGAGAATCTCTGCTGGGGGAGGATGGTCAGCCCACACGCTTCTTAATGCTCTGCATACACAAACACACACAAACACATTAGCACTCTCACTGGCAGATGAACACACACATACATGCTGTTTGTATTCAGTGCACACAAAAGCCTACAGATTCTACATAGTTACAAGCACAAACTCTTGATCATATAGTGTGAGTGCTTCCACATATGCTACACACACA